GACGCTTCAGGTTATAGACTCCACTAACCCAGAAATAGTACATCAGGTTAAGAACTTTGCTTCAGGATGAGAACAGAAATCATGCTCCGGTGGTGCAGCAGTAAGAGGAGGCCCCATTAGCTAAAGTGGTGCTTCAGGTTAAGAACAGTTTCAGGTTAAGAACGGACCTCTGGAACGAATTAAGTACTTAACCCGAGGTACCACTGTAACACTAAAAATGACTTTCAGTTTGCACGGAAATGTACTTCTGAACATTATTATTAACCTGTGCAATATGAAGAAGAAACAACTTAAAACAGAACTTACAGACCCAGGAAATTCAAATATTAACTTCAAAGTTGCTTGTGAAAGTTGACTTTTCCCATGCCGCAACAACACAGAAATCTGAAAACATTGACAATTATCATTGCTGTACAAGCATGGAATGTTTCAGTGCACCTGGAGTTTAGTCATATATACTGTACCAGGGGTAGTCAATCTGGTCCCTACCGCCCACTAGTAGGCATTTCAGGATTCCAGGTGGGCGGTAGGGGATTCTACAGCACATGTTACTGCAGCACTGGTGGGCAGTAAGGAAATTTTACCATCAAGAAAGATGCATTAGTGGGCGGTAGGTATAAAAAGGTTGACTACCCCTGTACTATACCATATATGCACTAGATAGTCATCACACCATTTCTGGAGGTCCTAATGCTGGGGCAGGGCAGGGTATAGATTGTTGTCACCCTGAGAAAGTAGAGCTGAGAAGGGGAGGGAGAAGAAACCCACATCACCCAGAAGCTGGGAAGTGAGCAGAGGTGAGGAAGGAATCCTGTGTCAGTAGCCAGAAATGAGTGACAGAACCTGCTTCCCATCCAGCCAGCTCATTGGTCCTAGTCCTGGCTGTGCCTCCACTCTATCTGAATCATTCCTGTTTCACTGGAGCAGAGCAAATCCAGGTGGAGCTGTCCAGGAGCTGGTGAGTGGAACAAGGGGGCGGGCAGAGCCCTCCTCGTTAATGTAAAAATTCACAGAGCAAGTAAAATTCCCCTTGACTGTGTCGAACCAGGAGAGGGAATCTGTGACTTTTCAGAGGACCCCAACTCTCATCAGCTACAGCCAGCAAGGCCAGTGATGGGGGATTATGGTAGTCTAACAGCATCTGGATGGCTACATTTTTGCCAACTCCAGCGAAGAGTTTATGATTAGTTTGCAGCGAGTGGCCTCTCCCAGTTCTTTTGGGGTATATTTAATTGCTACAAAAAGGCTTCCAAATCTATCTATCATCTGTCTATCTATCACTGGTATTTAAAAATGTAATAAACTGTGTGCCGGGGCAGTGGTGGTGCTCCCCATTTTGCCGCTTGAAACAAAAATCTCACCAGAACGAGATTTCACTGGAAACCAGTGCTGCTGCCACTGCCACTTCTCTGCTGGTGATGGAGGCAGCAGGGTGTGTGGCAGAGGCAAGAAAGTTGCTGCCCCTTGGTCTTCCACCACTCAAGCTGAGCACCCCACCTTGTCTCATCAATGGGCTGGGCTTGGTCATGGGACAGAGTAGCAACAGTTTCTACTTCACAAGGAGCTGAAATTGGGATGTTATGCTGGAGCTCTTCATTTTAGTCTCTTCATGATGCACGACTGACCCAAATGATATATTTCATCATTTTATTTGATTCTTTTTTTTAAAAAAAATATTTTTTATTAACAGGCCAATCAAATCACATTAATTCCAAATCACATTAGTTCCAAATTATACAGCCAAATTTTTAAAATTTTATTGGGGGTACCCATACTTCGAGCTCCGAAAGGGATCCAAGCATCACTCTTGTTGCTGCTTTAATTACACAGTTCTGTCCAGTTCTGTCCAGATAGTCTCTTTGTTATTTTCCTCATCTTCTTGTTGTTATTATCATATATTCCTTTCTTTGTGATCTCTGATAATCTTCACAAGCGGGTTGAAAACAAACATATCCTGTGTGGATTTTACACTCTCCAAGAGCCATATCACATAAAGGACAGACGCCATTTCCACACCTCCGCAAAGAACATTCCCACAGTCTGTCCGTTGATTTCCACAGGCCTGCGAATCTGTATCTCAGGGGGCCCTGCCAGGTCAAATCCACATTCCGATAACCATACATTCACATTCCAATGACCATGGTCCTCCTCCCCCTCGTCCTCCTGTGGGCAGGTCTGTCTTAACGAATCTCCATTTGAAACTGCCTCACAAAGCTTTCTTTCCATCCGACGTTCCCACCAGTCCTCTCTTTGATCAGTAATTGATTTCCACACAGTTCTTAATCTCCTGCTTGTGATTAGTAATTTGCAACGATTCTTTCACTCTGGGAGGGAGGATTATTGGGTACTCACATAAGACAAAAAAATCTTCACTTGATTTATTGTCCAGCCCGTCGCTCCGCTCACAGAGATCCCATTAATCAGCAGTCTTTACTCCCGATCTTCACTTGAAGTATGTGCATTTGCTTCTATTTCCAATTATATATTTCGAGCTGATGCAAACCAGTGTGTGATTTGGAGACAGCGTCCGGGAGAGCTGACTCCACCCGAGGGCTTCGTGCCTAGTGTCCTCACCCCCTTCTTTTGAATCTGGGGATGAATTATGGACACAGCAGGCAAGGCAGTACCCCCCCATTCCCTTGGGGGGCAAGGGAGGCTGCATACTCCCATATCAGCCTCTTAATTACCTTGTGTGGGTCAGAGAGATGTTATTGTCGGCCATCTTCCAATGCGCCCCCTGGTGGCCCCCCCATTTTATTTGATTCTTTTAAACATAATAATTTGTTTAGCAGCTATCATAACAGCAGTGTTTTCTACAAGCTAGACAAAATGGTGGCCACATTGTCCACCAATAAAGAATGTAATGTAAAAAAAAAATTGTAACAACCCCCCCTCACAACCTTGTAAAATACAGTACATTGTAATCAGCATACTTTTCTAATGTGGTGCAGTGCTAAATATAAAACCTGATATTTAGTTAGCCTTGGTGCAACGTGTGTTAGTTTAGCACAGTGCCAGTTCACGCTCAGTCGTTTCTAAATATAGTTCTCCATGTCTCCTAATGTCATTTTTAAGTACCACTTTCAAAATGATAGTTTGTAATATTGTGTAGCTTTCACAAACCCAAGGAATTCCCTTGAGCACATACACTATACTCTCTAACACAATGTTCAAGCCCACTGAAAGCACTTCTGACTTAGTTTTAGATTGTCACTACAGTGCTTTCAGAAGACTGAATAAAATAAACTCAGGAGTCTGGTGATTTACTTTTAAGAAGAACAGAACTGTGCTGCCTGAAACCATAATAAAAAGCTCAAGTTCAAAATTTAAGCTGAAGCTTATTTACTTTCTAGGTATGCCGATTATTGGCACATTGTTTGCTAGAATGGTTCATGAGTCTCATCTTCTCTCATTTTCCCTAGAGTTTCAGGGCTCTAATTTCCTAGCTAAGGTGGTGATTGCCAAGACAGGTGTGAATGATTGTTGCTCAAACCAAACTGGGCAGTTGCTGTTATTCTTTTCCAGCAGAAGGCCACATTGACAGAGGTTTTTCTGCGGCGTTTGAGAGTATACATATAATGAAAGCATTCCCACAACACTTCTGCAGCCTCACTTTGGGCTATGTGAAAGGATTTTTTATTTTTTTTTATGTCAAACCAATCTATTTTATGAAAATGGTATTTAGGTTCTCTTAGTTCACATACGGTGGTCAATGCAATCATAGGTTTCAAGAAAGATGACCTGTGCTTTGTTTGCTACCTTTTGGAAGAGGAGCTCTTCTGCCTGGGCAAGGACCCAGCAGTTAGCAATCAGTTGCTGCAAGAAGAGGATAAGAAGGGTGCACCAACATTTAAAGCACACTCCCTCTCCTGCCAGGCTCTACCAACAACAGATACATGAGGTAAAAGAACTGGATTCAAGGGGTGGTATTCTACTAACTCATCTGATCGGTGCAGGAATTACTGCTGGCACAACACAACCCCCCTCTCCCTCTCCCACCCCCTCCCCAAATCTGTTCTGCAGGGCTGGGGGAACCCCTAGAATAGATTTAGGGGGCACACAGGTGAAGCAGAGGGGGTAAGTGTTTAAACAGGCTTCTGTTACTGAACAGTTCAGCAGTGGGCCTGAATGGGTCCAGCAATATATTAGTTTGTTCTCTTCCTATGCTTTTTCTACACAGTTTGTGTGGAAACAACTCAGCAGTAATCTCTTTTTCTAATCAGAAGACTCTGAGTCCTTAGTATTCCTTCCAGGGGAGTAACTAGGAGGTGGTGAGGAAAGCCTCTGTCAGGGGTGCAGGTGTGTGGGGGAAATTGGCTAAAAATAAGTCCATAAATATGTCTATAAATAAAAATATTGATTAGTTTATGAGGAATTGAAGTGTGTGAGGAATTGAATGGGTGGAGGGGGGTTGGAGGAGAGGCGGAAAGAAGAGGTAATCTGTCCATGGCTACAGGGCGCAATCTGGACAGTTCTGCCAGGGGCACAAGATCACTTAGCTACAGCTCTGCCTCCTTTACCAGTCTTGTTTCCAGACTTATGTCATCTCCCCATAGTCTCTGTCTCTAAGTTTCCCTCCTTTCCCTCTGCCTATCTCCTCATATTTTCCCTCAGGAAGAGCAACCTCAGTTATTTTCACAATTCTGTGAAATGGCATTACTTTTTCAAAACAATCCATGAAATGTGTCACACTAAAGCCTTTAAAACATCCCAACTCTATCTCCTTGTCACGTTTTGCCCCATTTTAAGCAATGGCTTTGTTTGTTAGAAGTTTACAACCCTCTACCTTGAAACATGGCAATATATGGATGGTGCCTACCCCTTTTCACTTTTACAGTTGTGAAACTGAGGTTTAGACTAAAAAGATTAGCTAATAGCATTATGTCAGGACTGGTCGTTGTCCTCTTCAGACCACCACACAAACGCTTCTTGTTCTTTTATAAAAACTTTTTATTGCGTATTAACAAAACATTCTTATAAACGGTTCTTAACTATTATTCCTCAGAGTCACTTATTTCAGATACCTTCTGAGCTCTGCTTCTCCATGACCAGCCACTCTCAAAATGGCGAAGGCGCCCTTCCCTTCGCTTTCCCGCTCTTTTTTCTAACCTCCTGAGAATTTTTAAAAGTCGTCTGTCAATGTCCGTTTCATATAATTTTTTCCATAGTCTATCTCTACAGATTGAGTCGAAGGCAGATGTCAAGTCTACGAAGGCCACAAAGAGTCTGCTCTTATACGCTTTTGCATATTTAGCTACCAGGGTCTGTAGTACCATACAGTGACCTATCGTATTGTGGCCCTTTCTAAATCCTGCCTGTTCCTGGTTGAACAGGTTAGAATGGTCCGCCCAATCTACCAGCTTGTTTAATAGGTACCGGGTATAAAGTTTGTATGCGATGTCCAGAAGGCTTATAGGGCGGTAGTTTGCTGGATCTTGAATGTCTCCTTCTTATAGATAGGGACTACCACACTTAGTTTCCAATTTGCTGGGATTTTACATGTGTTGTTCATTGCCGTAAAAGTTTGGCCAAAAAGATGGCCCACCATTGGGCATTTAATTTAAAAACCTCAGGGGGGATCATGTCCTCGCCAGGAGCTTTGCCATTTTTTAAAGTTTTAATTAGCTGTAGGCACTCTGATTCCGTAACGGGATCCCAACTAACTAGATGCTCATTCTTCAATGGGAGGAGCGGACTCAAGTTAGCAGTATTTGAGAGTGTGTATAGCTTGAGAAAGTGTTGATACCACACATCGGATGGAATACTGCTGTTTACAATTTTTCCTTTGGATGAGACTCCCTGTGCTACTATTGCCCAGAATTTTCTATCGTCTCGCGATTTAATCGCCTTATCAAGTGCCTCCCATTGTTTCTTCCTGTAAAGGGATTTCTTGAGTTTTAAGGTGTATTTATAGTGAGAGCGCCATCTGTGGAAATTTACCATAGATGACAAAGTCCTCTCCTGTTTTACCTTATTTTGTTGTTTCCTAAGCAGGGATCTTAGCTTCCGGCAGTCTTTGTCACACCAGGCCCCGATTTGTTATGTTGTATGGGAGGCCTGGTGTTTATAAGAAATGGGAAAAGGGACTCTGAGACCCGCTGATATAGTGAAAAAGGATCAAAGTTAGGTAAAGGACACTGGTCTCTCAGAACCAATAGATCTGGAGAGTGCAGGTGTTGATTAATTTTAAGCTCCAGCTCGCTGTTCCATTTACGCCTGCGTGGGGCCGGTGCTTGAGGAGGGGCTGCACAATGTAGATGTTGTAATCCCCTGATTCAAGGGGAGTTAGTGAGATTGCTCTAGGAAGATGGTCGCTCTCAGTTCTATTAAAAGTGCTGAGACCCTGTACCCTCTCCAAAATTGTTGGAGAGACCAGGATATGGTCAATCACACTTGCACCACGAGGGCCGATAAAGAGAAGAAACCTCCTGACCTGTCCATGTAAGTACCATGCAGGTTGTACAGATTATGCTTAAAAGCAATCTCCAGTAATGTAATACCTGCCTTGTTCAAGACCTTTTCATCAGAACTCCAAGGGATAAGCCAGTCTGCCTCTGGTAGAAACTGGGTTTTGGAGCCATACGAATTGATGTCGCTGCCTATCCTGGCATTAAAGTCACCTGCCAGCAGGATGTTCCAGTCAGGGAATTCTATTTTGGCCTTCTCCAAGCATGACTCCAAATCTTCCCAGATTTGTACTGTCTGAGAGGAAGTACACACGGGGGATATAGACGTTGAAACATAGAAGATCTCCTCCTGTGTTATTGGAGATAAGTAAAATCTGAAAATTGTTGTTCTTCATCCACTGCAGTTGTCGCACCCTGTACCCTTGCTCTATAGGAATAAAAGTGACCAAACCGCCGCTAGGTCGGCCACGGTTATTTAGTTTTTTCGCAGGGGTAGCAAAAGCCGCATAGCCCTGTAAGTAAGGGGGATGAGAGTCTAGGCACCAGGTCTCTTGTAGACAAATAATCTGGAATTTTGAGAGAAAATCCAGAAAATCAGCAGCGCCCTGCTTAGACAGCCAGCCCGCCACATTCCACGATAAGATGTGAAAATATGGTGGTGAGGGGAACAAAGGTAGACTTCTCCGTTTGTTCTTTAGGATGATGGAATGAATGTTTTTGTAGAGGTGGAGTGAGCTGTTGGTATCCTTTGTGGTAGGTACTAACCTAGTGAGTTTTGTTTCACTGGCGTGGTGTCCCCTCGCTGTATCTGTCTTTCAATCCTCCACCTGAATGCCATCTAAGGATCCTGAGGCATCCACAAAGATTGAACCGTTCCTACTCATCGGCATGGCAAGGTCTACCTGGTGTGTTGTTGTTTGAGGTGTTAAGGGTTGTGTGGGAGAACCCACTTCTTCGGGGGACAGGAACCGGCACTGCGTCCAGTCTTCGTTGGATAAGGGCTTTGTTGTGTTAGTAGCAAAATTAAATTCCAAAGGAGCAGAAAAACCTTGGCGGAATAAGGATTTTTTAATGGTTTGTAACCTAGCTATTAACGCATCCTGGGACTGTTGAATTTGCTCAAGGGAGGCTAGAAAGAGCATCTCCTTTTCATTTAAGATTTCTTTTTTGGGTTCATTGGAAGGGAGTAATGTTTTTTGGAGCTTAGCCTTCTGTTTGGAAATTTTGACTGCCTCCGGTTGACCTTGTTTGCAGTTTTCAGAAGCCATTTCCAATTCTGTGCGCGGACTAGTCGGCTTACGTGTTCCTAAGAGGGATGGTGGAACGCCGGACTCTTCAAAAAGGCGGGTCACCAACAGGCCAGCCCTCTGGAGCCTGTCCCTCTTGTCCATGATTTGTTTAGTTACCGACCAGTCCTTAAAGGTCACCACAACTCTGTTTTGGGCCATATCAAAAGGAAGAAATTTAACGCTGACAATATTTCCTGCTGGTATAAGGCCTCTGATGACTAAGTCAATTTTCTTAAGTAAATAAATTCTCTGTTGTGCAAGCGTGGAAAGGCCTCCATGCTTGAAGAGAGGGAGGAGGACTAATTTATGTTTAATTAAAATTAAGTTCTGGCTCTTTTGTACTCCCTTCTGGGGAGTTTCTTGCTTTGGATCTGGAGTTTCCTTTAATTTTCCACTAGAGGGCAGCGATTGTTTTGCTAGCCTTGGAGGGCTAGTCACCTGATGTATATTTAAAATGTTTGGGCTTTGGCTCTTATTTGGCGTTGTTTTGTTGGAGTTCTTTGTGCTTGAGTTCTCCAGAATCTTGAATAACTTTGAGAAATTCACTTTCCCAGTCCGAGAGGGCAGCTTAGCCTTTCGACCCATTTTCACATTCTTCGGCTTCTTCTTATGCATTGGGCTCTTTCCCTTTAAGGAAGGTTTCCTAGTGGCCAGTACTTTTCCTTGGGCTAGTTTGGCTCTGCTTGTTTTCCTTTCTTTGGTGTTGGACTGGGTTTTATTTCCATTTGGCTTGTTGATGGCTTCTTTGTGAAAGTGGCAATCCTCTTTCCTCCTGATTAGTTCAATCAGGGAGGTGAGCAAACCCAAACATTCTGAAAGAAAGTTTTTAATAGGCCCCAGTTCTTTAATTAGCTGAGTTTGATGTTCTTCCAACAGATCTTTGTACAGCCCTGTCATTATGTAATTATAGCTGCCCAGGTCTGGATGTCGAGCTCTTGTGTCGTTTAGCCACTCCTCCACCTCTGTCGGGGCAGGGGACCCCCCCTTTCCTCTAAGCATAGGTTGATGGGTGGATTCTTTTGACTTGGTTTCTGGGTCTCCCAGCTGAGGCTCCTGTTCTGGTCGGGCCTCAAGGGCTGTACTTTCTGTAGTTGCCTGTGCCAACTCGGTTGCCAGGTCAACTCCTTTTCCTCCTCCTCCCTCTGCTTCCATGCCCCTTCTGAACGAGATACGGTCGACAGACCATTCGTGCGGATGCAGGCTCTCTATGTTTTTATTTCTTTTCACTTCCTCTGCTTTTGGTTTAAAATAATATGGAATTTTTGCCTGCTTTTTCTTTGGGGCAGGGGTTCAACAGCTTGTGCTTGAGCTAGAGGGATCCCCAGTTCTTTATAATTCTGTCTTGTAAGAACCATTTAAGTTATCTTCTCTAGCCGTGTGCTAGGGCCTTATTCAACAGGAGCTCAAAGGTTGTAATTAGCCTCGAATAGGGGAGGAAAGGGGAGGATTTAAGAAATACCTCCTGGTAACTCCCGGATTCTTTTATCAGGCTAAAACTTTGATTTTTTCTGAATGTCTTTCTGTATTATTGTAATTATTCTGTAAAAGCTCCTACTCACTCTGTTGAGGCTCACAGGAGACTTACTGCCGGCGCCATCTTCCAGGAGTTCCGTCTGAGCTAGGGAACAAACAAAAGTGGAGGTCACCATGAAACGGACATTGACAGACGACTTTTAAAAATTCTCAGAGAGTTACATACAGACATTACAGTCAAAATCAGAACTGGGCCATCGGGAACTCTTACGGACCCACTGCCATTGGGGAAAGGGGTCAAACAGGGATGCCTGCTAGCCCCATTTCTTTTCAACTTTTATATAAACGACATTGTCCAGTACATGGCAAAGTACAAGTCATCGGCTCCAGCCCTTGAAGGTAAACGCCTGAATATTTTGCTATATGCCGATGACATGGTTTTAATGGCACTCACCCGAAGAGGCTTACGCAGCATGCTGGAGGGGATCGCAGCCTACTGTTCCCATAATTCACTAAAGATAAACCATGATAAAACAAAAATTGTGGTGTTTACTAGAGCTCGCCACACCTTTAGATGGTCTTTAGATGAACAAGTGATTGAACAGTGCCCTTTTTTAAATATCTGGGTGTTACATTCCAGGCTACATCTAGCTGGCTAGCCCACTTTAAGGCTGTAACCATCCTAACACGAAGAACAATTGGTGTTTTGCTTAGTTTCTTCCATACCAGGGGAGGACAATTGGTGATCCCGGCATTAAGAGCTTTCGTTGGGAAAGCTATTCCCCAGATGTTATATGGGATAGAACTCTGGGGGTGGAACCAGAGGCTGTTGGAACGGCTTGAAATTTTGCAAAACTACTATCTCAAGAAGATTCTAGGCCTTCCTCAAGGAACCCCAGCAGCCTTCTTGAGGGTGGAGGTTGGTTTACCCTCTGTGTCTGCCAGGGCCCACTTAAGATTCCTACGATTTTACATCAACCTTGCAAACTCTTCAAACACCTTATTGGCCAAACAAGCCTTCGTATCTTTTCAAAAGAATACCACTTGGTGCCAAAACTTATCTGAGATCCTGGTTAGATACACCCTACCGGAGTTTAATATCCTCAAGCGGTGGAGCCCGGACAAAGTCCGGAAATGGATCCTGGAGAGAGACGCTCTGTTAGATACCACAAAAATACAGATCCCAGGGTCCTCCCACTGGCTTCCCCGACTGAAAGCAGTCAAAATCTGCGCCAATTACTTGGCGAATATCACCAATCCCACTCTTCGGAGAGCCTTTACTATGGCCCGTTTTCAAACCATTCCTACGGCCTATCTGTCAGGCAGATATGCAAAAATCCCAGTAGAGCAGCGGATATGTCCTTGTTATATGAGAACCAAAGAGGATCTCATACATTACATGTTGTATTGTCCCATCTATTCGGCCTTCAGGGATGCGATGTTACAACTATTCCTAAATCAATAGTCAACTCTGAGGACCAAGTAAAGTTTTTACTGGTAGACGCTGATCCACGGATTTCTCACGTGGTAGCGGTCTTTGTGGTGAAGGCTATGAAAACTAGGGTATGGTTCCTGGATGAAACGGTGAGGTCCCTCCCATTGCTCTCCTAACCTGTTGCTGTACCTTCTTCCTCGAATGGTGGGGTTTTTTGGGTAGTTTCCTTGCTGGGACAACATGGCATGAATTTTAGCTTACTTTTATAACCTTTTTGGTTTATCTTTTAATAATGTTTTATGGTATTTTGTGTAAAGGCATGGACCTCACAAATTTAATAAATTTATTATTATTATCCCTCTAACCTCCTGGCTAGAGCTGGCTTGTATCTCCCCTCCTCCAAATCTGAGCTAGAACTTAACCCTTGCCTTTCCTGTGAACAGCCAGTCCCTCCCTGTTGTTCCTCTTGCTCTCTTCTGTTAGATTCACTGCTCTCCTTCCCCCCTTGGCGAATGCTTTCTCCCTCTGAGAAACTGGACACTTCTAACTCTTCCCTGACACATTATACCTGAGTAGCAGTTTGCACCCATTTCTCCAAACTGAAAACCAGCATTCTGTTTGCTTCCTGTTTGCCTCATTACCCTGGTTATCATACACTCTTTGAAAGCTTTGTTAATGTATAGATCTGAATTTTGTGTCCCCTGCAGAGTTTTGTATCAAGAGCTACATTCACATACTGGGTTTTTACATCATTGATTTAGTAACTTGGTTATTATTTTTCTGAAGTCCACAGTGTTATCAATTATTAAATAGCAGCAGCAGCAGCATGCTTTTATTTGCTATTTTAGAAGGTGTTATTAAAACACATTAATGGGAATTTAAAAGATTCTGTGCAAAATCTAGAAATACTTTTTCTAAGGTCTATTGAACAGTGATACTTTCTGCATTATCTTTTTAGCCTACAGTAACTTCTAAAATACAGTATATTTATTTTGTAGCCTAGTGACTGGATATCAGCAGCTCTAGGATTCCAGAATGCTCACTACAATCTGAAAATACTGATTATGGCTTTCATATTAATTTTGAACTTTGCCTGTTTGTAGATGAAGGTGGACTCATAAGCTAGTGGTGGTTGTGGTCTGCACACAACCACATATTTCTCAAGAAAGGCTTGTTCTATTAGCCAGTGCAAGAATTTAGCAGCCAGATCTGATTTTTGAGATGTGAGATGCTGTGATGTGCATATTTTTATTTTACAGCATCAGTCTGTCACTTATCATAGTGAGAGGCAGGCATCCAAAGCCCTTTGTATTATGAGAGCTATTGGCTTACTATCACAACATCTTTCCTCTAGTTATGGCAGATTTCACTCAAGTTGACTGTGGGCTCAACATGAAGACTTGTTGTCTCTTATGCTGAATTTATTACAAGCAAGTTGACAGCCCTTCACTCCAAACTCACTTTGAATCCAACAAACTCTTTCAGAATAGACAGCAAAAGAATAAGCATTGTAATGTTGACCAAGCAAAATGCTTCAAGCTTATCTGGGGGCGGGTATGAAATGGCACAAGAAGAGAAGGTTATTTTGAGATAACCCAGTTTCCATGCTAATTTAAAAACTTTCTCCTCTTCTGAAATAGCAAACAAATATGTGTTGGCAACTGGAAACTTATCTTATAGAAGTCTGCTGCTGGGCTGATTTTCAATAAGTAGAAATAGCCTGCTTGGAAGGTGACAAATAATTTTGAGTGTAGCAATGAGGTTCTGTGTGCCATGATCAGTTTACATCTCTAGCTCAACCTAAGTATTAAGTACCATAGGATTCAACATTAAATAAAGCTTAGCTGTGAATGAGCACTTAATAACATCATTGTTAACTAATGCACAGCAATAATACTGTGATTGTCTGTGTGTGTTATGACATTACTTCAGGTACAGAACAGTGATAATGTGAAGAGATAATGTAAAAAGGTTAGTAACAATAAGCTCATTGGGAATCTCATTTATGCCAAAAGGAAAATCAGGTGAAATGATCAATTGGATGAAAACAATCCATTCCAGAATTCTGCACAGCAGTGTTTATATAATTTGAATAGGCTCAGAACTTAACCCTATGCCAATAATGATGCTTTTTAGAAATATATTTTCCTCCTTTAAACAAATTTGCATAGCAGAGAACATTGCTCAATTGAGGCATAAATTTTAGGGTGCATTAGCAATGGTATTCAGTTATAGGAATACAGTAATATGAATATTTTTTTGTCCTGGAAAAAATATCTAAATCATATTTTTTAAATGGACTAATGGTTCCTATACCATTAAAACTGAATGTCAAAATTGAATGTGGAAGTTAAAAATGAAGGGCAGTGTTCAACTAATTCTAAGCTGTGCATTATGACTCCTCCTCCCTTTGTAACTTCTCCACCCACTCCTCCCTTAGCCCTCTTGGTTGGGGAGAAACCCTGGAGCAGGCATAGGCAAACTTGGCCATCCAGATGTTTTGGGACTACAACTCCCATCATCCGTAGCTAACAGGACCAGTGGTCAGGGATGATGGGAGTTGTAGTCCCAAAACATCTGGAGGGCCGAGTTTACCCATGCCTGCCCTGGAGCATATTTAGAGGGCACATAGGGAGAGGACAGGGTGGGGAAGTTACATTGTACAGCTAAAAGTCATTGCATTAGTGTTACTGTTTAGTCAACTACTGCCCTAAAAACATTCAAGGTTGCACTAAGGCGATCACTCTGTGCAAGCTTTTCTGCTTGTCTGATGAAATGATTTTACCTTTCTTCCTGGTGTGCACTGCTCTGGGGGTTCTCCTGACCACCAACCCAGAACTGATTTGGGGGGTGATGCAGGGGGAAGAGAGGAATAAGGCCCCATTGACTGTGGGCCTTGTGTTGGTTCCTGCTAGCACAGCTATTTAGTTGAATGTGGCTCACAAGGTTGTGTCCAACTAAGTTCTAACTAGAGTAGACCCATTGAAATGAATGGATCTAAGTTAGTCGTATCCATTAATTTCAGTGAGTCTACTTTGAGTATGAATAATGTTGGATACAACCCTTGTATACAATGGTCTGAGCTATTATAAAAAAGGTTTATAAACCATTTAAGGGGGGATAATTTCAAGTGTAGCAAAGAGCACTATGAGGTTTTACATATCACTAGCTTTGACATGTGTATTTACTGCTACTGTTTCATGAAGACCTGTTACCCTGTGTATATACAAGCAATTTAACAGACAATATTTACTGATTATTTAATTTGACTGAAAGACATTTTTTTATGTCTATAGAGCATCATAGTTCAGTTTTCTGAGGGAGTGGCTCTTCATTGTATTACTGGCTTCTGATATGCTTCTGAATCAGATTTAAAGTGTTTTAATATATATCCTAAAATGGCTCAGGACCAAGGGAAAATTGCCTGCTCCCTTACATGCCTACCTGGACTTTGAGATCATCAGGAGATGCTCTTCACATGATGCCACAGATACAGCACGTGGAAACTCAAGAGAAAGTGTTTTCAATTATGGCACCACAATTGTGGACTGCTCCTGCTCTCAGATGAGAGTAATAGGAAATTATTTGCTGATGTCTTTAGGTACATATTCATTTGTGATTGTCATTGGAACATAGCCCATTAGTAGAGCATAAGATTCTAATTTGTTTCCGGTATTTCAGTTAAGGATAGCTGAGCTGGAAAAGACTTCTGTTATGTACAAGGAAGCAGAGCCAGTGCGAGGAATATGGCACATTTATTGGCTACTCCTATGCAGATGAGGTGCACAGAAACTGGCAGGCATGTAGGGACAAATCTGTGATCCGATCTCAGATTACAAATCCAGAGGAAGGCACATGAAGCAAGGGCAGTGAAAATACAGAGCTGTCAGGACCCTGGACAGATCACTGGAAGCTGATCACTTGTTCCACTGGCATCTCAGTTCCAGTAGAGCCCTTATATAGCTCTTATCAAGAGCCATACCCTGTGACTCAAAGTGGAGAACCTAAAGGGACAGCTCTTGGGTCTGAAGCTGAGCATTTTCTTTCCATCTGCTCCCAGCAAGTGCATTGCCTGCATTGGGGAGTACAGCCTGGAAAACATGACTTTTATGACAAGGAAGCCCAAGGTTCTTCTGTGGAGTCTGGGTCAGGGAGTCTAGCACTGTGTGGGCTTGTGCCATCTGTATGGTGTTCTGGCTGCTGCTTTGGGCCTGCTCCATCATAACTTAGGATGCAGCCTTATACTAAGTCAGACCATTGGTCCAACTAACTGAGTCTTGTCTTCACTTCTCTCCAGCATTTCAGACAGGAAACATTCCCAGATGCCAGAGGACCTTTCCACACAGCTGGCCCAGCTTGGCACTGGATTGCTTCATCAGATCTCAAATTCTATGAAAAGAATACCGATAAGATTTACAGTGTGAAGAAAATAGAGATTTATGCTGGTAGAATATCTAAAATTATATATTGAATCTAAACATTGCTAACCAGAATCTTGTCATGCGTGATGCTTCTTCTGTGATCCTATAAAGATACGTGCAGGAGAACAGCAACCACACTCTCTTTGAAAAATGAGGCAGAAAAATCATTTTGCGGCGGGGGGGGGGGGGATAATAAAATAATGCAAAAACAACCATTTGCCTGAAGTGTGAAAAGAGAATATGAGCAGAATGTAAAAGTGATATTATGCTGCATAAGCAGCACATATACAACTTGCTTTTGGGTTTCTCTTTATTCGGCTTTTTGCTTCTGCTTTTACACTCTTTAAAAAATATTGATGTTTCAGCTTTCAAAAATATTATTGTACCACTGTGTCTAACATAACCTGTCAAAATTTGTGACCACGTGGGTTTCATTTAAAGAAGATTAATATTGGTCTTCGCTCTTCTCTTTGCATCAGTGATCCTGCTTGGCAACATATGTGCATACCCAAAAAGATAATCTTCCTCCTTATATTCCTTCAGGACTGCAATATCGACTGAGAATGTTCTCTTGTCTGTTCATGTGCGCAGCAAATTCAGATGATGGGGACATGCTAGTGGAGCATTTTCATTGACTATAGATTATTCTAGACGGAGATTTGCCAAAGTGAACTTAAAAAAATAAGCAATCCTCTACAACTTTCCTTCTTAGACTGCTTTTAGGCCACCTCACACATAATTTTAAAGGTGTGCATAGGAAGCTTCTTATGGCTAAGTGATCTTACTTGGTATATTGGTTAGTCCTGCCTACACTGACTTGTAGAGGCTCCCCAGGGTAGGACTTTGGTCTCTCCCAGACCTACCTGGAGATGCCAGGGATTTAACCCAGGTCTTTCTGCGTGCAAAGCAAATGTTGCACCACTGAGCTATGGCTCTTTCTCTAAACATAGAGAATGTTTTACATGTGTTCACAAGAAATTTGGCAAGTGCCCATGATAAATGCACGTGTGTCAAGGTTGCTGGGACAAGCTGTGGCATGCCTATGTATTAGAAAGCATTTGTGATTACCTAATGTGACAAGTGATCCTTAGGGACCAGGAGTGAGCTATTTAAGTGGGGCGTAAGTAGTCAAGAGAATGTAGTTCCTGTCACTGGCTGCTCACATACACCGAGCTTGTTCAGATAACAGACTTTCAAAATGGAATTGCAATGGAACTGGTTGAAGGTAAAACATCATCAAAGTATTCCAGCCTTTTCCTATTGCTTAGAAATTCTTCCTGAGTTCAGACAGTTCTGTGTGAACATGATCTGGTGCTTATTTGTCAGTGCCAAAACTAGGCTTCATTTCACTTGGGTCAAAGCCCCGCCCCCGCCGCCATGTGTGCATTTGCACGCACACCCACACAGACTGGAAGCCTCAATGGTTCCCCTCTGGAGATTTCACTAGGGGCAAAATACCCGGCTAGCTCCCGCCCCCCCATAGCTACAGCCCTGTTTTTGTACACTCAATCTGACATGTTCTTTTGGAACTACAGTAGACTCACAATTGATGTGCATTTAACTTGTGTGCATTCAGCTGTAAGGGCTTGCAAGGGCTGTAAGCACCCAATGTGCTTTGGCTATTTGCAATTTGGGCTTTATGTGCCATTGCCGGAACATAACCCCTGTGTAAATTGTAAGTGTACTGTAGTTGATTTTGTTTATAGGAATCGGTTTGGCTCTGGTTTGCTATTTGAAATAGCGTCGTCATTGTTTACATAAAGTAATGTTGGAACGTTCAGAATTTGCAAATAAAGGCAATGATAGAACATCATAATGTGAGCATCTGTAGTGACTTATAATATGTTCTCATTGTGATATCATGACCATGGAATTAATGTAACATAATCATATGTTTGGTTGTTTGCAGTAATTCTTTTCCATGAGATTCCAAGAAGCTTAACAGCCCCTGCTTTTGATTTCCCCCCGTTCTTAATTGTGCTTGGAAAATGTCCAGTCTTATAACAGAATATTCAGATCAGAATGAGAGCAAATGATGCCTATGTCCCTGCCTAATCTCTTTGTGTTGTGCCTATAGTCAGAAGTTGTAAATTGAGTGGTGCAAATGTATATTATGTGCTAGAGGCTTCTGATCAGTCCTGTCATAATCATCAGCTAAGAGAGTGCTCCAGGTGCCCCTATCAACTGAAATTTAGCAAGGATGCCTTCTGCGTCATGGAGCAAACTCTGCATAGTAGGCTCCTCCCAGGGAAGACCACCTAGTTCCAATTCTGTCTTTTATATATCAAATAAAAACCTGGTTTTAAGAAGGCCTTAGAGATCAGTTAACTTTTGTGTTTGATTCCTTTTTAATCTTGGAATAGAGTTTATCTGCCTTTTTAAATTGTTTGTTGATTTTGCAAGCACAGACGGAGTGAGTCTGCTGCCGGTGCAGGGCCAGCACAGTGGCAGTACCCATGAGCCACAGGACAATGATCTGGGGTTGAAACAAGCCACATCTTTATTGATCACAGATGTCAGCAGGTTTTGGCATAGGCACTGGGTATGCATCCAAAATCATCCAGCCCGCCTGCTGGTTGATGGATCATTAGGGTTGATCCTGTGAGAAGAATCGCCCTGTGATGTACATCAAATAGGTGTGACCCACCAGGCTCTCCACTATGGGGAGTATTATGGCCCATCTGCCCTCATCTGGATATCAGGACATAAGCACCTCCCTCCTAGACCCCTTTAATGAGGTATCCCCATTCCTCGAGGCGGGGGATTGAGGTTCCCCAACCTCCACACTGACTAAGGATCCATCCCCAGTGCCTTATTCACCATCAAATTGTGACAATTGCTATGAGGTAGCCAAAACCCCAAGACAGGCTCAATATACATATCTGAGGGGGAAATTCCTGCCTGGCCCAGGATATAGCAACCAAGATTTCCATTGCAAAGTTCTACATATAACCCACTTGTTTACCCATGGGCTGGTTGAAGCAACTAGTTTAGGGAGTGAGCTGTCAAAACTGTGTGCACTCTCATTTTATGCATGAGGAGAGGACCTATCATGGACGAAAGGATGACGGGGACGAGGAAGAGGATCCCAGCAAGGAGTGTAGCCAGGACTGGGACATGCTGGGGCAAGCAGGTGATGGGGAAGGAAGTACTCACAGAGTGACAGAGGATGGTGAGGGGATGGAGTGTACAGGAACCAGAGCAGCAGGACTCATCACCAGAGCCAGAGGGACCCCTGTCCATATGAACACGGTGGCCTCTGAAGCATAGGGAGCAGTGGGGGTGGTGCTATAGGAGTCAGAGGCAGAGGCAGGTAAGGGCTGACAGCCCAATTGGCCAGGTGGGGCTTGATAGCTCTGGGAGGAGGGGTGTGATTCCTCAGAACAGGTGAGGGTCATATGCCACATCAAGCCAAGTGCTGCAATCAACATGCAAATTACACAAGGGGAGCAGAGCTGAGGTTTTGTGTCTGCTCAACTGCCCATGCTGATGGTCTTTGGCTTGGATGCTCCTGGCCCTCTAGAGCACTGTGCTTCAGGCTTGACTCTGGACGGTATCCTGGCTGCTGGACTTCACTTGTGTGCCTTGACCCCATGAACTTTGGACTTTACATACTGACTTGCTGCCAGGTAGGCCAGGGCTTCAGGACAGGAGCTGACTGAAGACTCAAATGAGCTGCTCCCAGTCAGGTCTACTCCTGAAGACCCACCCTATGACCCACCCAGGATTGGCTGTGGGTGTGCCCTGTCAGTCAGCATGGCAAGCAGAGGAGGACATGAAGTCTCCCACCAGCAGTTTGAACCACCCACCCCAGGCAAGCTACACCATGTGCAACCACTTCTTCCCCAAAGAGAAGGTAAGTGGATCCTCTTGATGAGATACATGGTTAGTTGTATTTGGGTTTTTTGTGATTTGCTGTTGCGCACTTTGATTTAACAGCTTGTTGTTTTTAACTCTCTTGTTTATATGTTTTTATAATGAAGTTATATAATGTGCATGTGTGTGACTGCAAAACATCGCCTACAATATATTTCATGAAATCGGGCTCAAAATGTCCTCTAAAGTAAAAAAAAGAAAAGAACAATTTAACACTTTTTTGTTTCATCTCCAGTATTCTCACAAATAAAACCTCTTTTGTAGGTTGCTCTGTTGGGCACCAGTGAATGAATCAAAGATAAATCAGAGACCTGGCTATAAAACAAGAGTGAAAAGCAATTTTAAAGGAGCACATTGTCCTCTGATGTCTCAGATAAAGAGCCCATTTTTCTTCCCCCACCCCACTGAGACATGCCAATCTCAAAAGGTTCTTGGTTGGTACAATATTGGCTGAAAGCTCATTCTCATCTGAATCTAAAATGCAAAAAGAGTTGTCATGACTTGTGTACTGTGTCATAAATGGAATCATTTTATGAGATGAGAAGTGACTCTAGGGATATCTATCTAATAAATAGATGGAGCAGGAATTACAGATGTGCAAATGGCCTGCCATGCTAGTCCCAAAGTATGAGCAACCCAGGCCCTAAATTTATCCATCTCTGAACAAAACTACAGCAGGATATTCTGGTTTTTTTAAGCAACTATAAAATACAGCTAGAACCATATAGTTTTCTCTTTGCTCTGCCTCAAAGCAATCCCTTCAAGGGAAATCTTAGAACCAGCTGCAAGTTCTTTCTTAGTCATCTAAGGACCTTTTAGTGAATCAAAGTCACCCACACATTATTTCTTAAATGATTCATATTATCACCTTTCTTAAAAACAGGAAGAAAATAAATACAAATCTTTATAAGAAGGGAATGATTATGCTGATTAGTTACATTACTGTATCTTTGGCATTTTAGTCTAATTAATTTAATACATTGTATGCAGTCTCCCCCAAGGACTATTCATCTCTTTTAAAAAACCATCTTATTTGGTTATTAACCTAACATGGTTTCCTTCAGGAATTCTTTCTGATGGTCATTAGGTGTATAACCAGTTCCTATTGTAAGCCAACTCATTTTCTGCTTTCTCTCTCTCATAAATTGTTTTTATTGAAAGATTCTCAGCAAAGGTACATACGTCTGTTTTCAGTCCATGGAGTCTTTTCTACAGGTCAGTTACACAGTTACAGGTATGAGACACTGCTGTCATAGACATTGTGAAGTTGGGGGGAAGAGTGAGGTGGGAGAAAGAAGGCGTCTAAATATATTTGCTTCTTTTGTATAGTATGTGTGGAGTTTTGGTGTCAGCATCATGTGGATAGGTTCTTTATTATTCATTTATTTGTTTTCATTGACGGTGTGAGAGATTGGGGAGCCCAGAGCATGGCATATTAACAGGAGCTTCTAGGGTGTTGTTAGGTACAATTTATGAATGTTCATGCATTCTTTCATTGCCTTGGCAAAGTTGATTCTGGTTATACTTTTCTGCAGTAAGCATGAAGTTAAATGTTTTTAAATGAGGCATATTTAGAGGAGCACACATGTAATAAATAAATCTTCATCAACAGTCCTCCTTCACTCCTAAAATGGAAGGTCTAGAGCAGGCATAGGCAAACTCGGCCCTCCAGATGTTTTGGAACTACAACTCCCATCATCCCTAGCTAACAGGACTAGTGGTCAGAGATGATGGGAGTTGTAGTCCAAAACATTTGGAGGGCTGAGTTTGCCTATGCCTGGTCTAGAGTAGACAAAGAACTTTTAGATGCAATGTATCAGAACACTATAATTCTGAAAAGGGCATTTGTTTATTGCAGAAGTTCTACCAGTTTGTGATTGGGATACTCTTAGCTTACATGATTTACCAGATGTTGAGCTGGTTTGGACATCATACTAAACCAGAGTTATGTGTTAGAAAATCCTAACTATGGCTAGTGGAAATAGCCAGCTTCAAATTTTAGTTTATGAAGCTGGTTTGCTTTCACTAATCATAATAACAATTAGGGTTTGAATATA